GTATTCTGGGTATGGGTTTAACATAGAACATCCAAGGGTTAATCAAGTCAATCCAATAATTAAAATTGGTAAATTTGCACATTCATATTTCTGGCATAAGGGCGACGATATGTATTTACACATTTTAAATTTTTCAATTTTTTATACACCTGTTTTACATAGTTTAGTGGTAAGAAAAAAGCAGTCATATTTCCTGTTAATATTCGTCTATTTGTATGAAAACAAGTCAATAAAATGTAAGGTCAGTACTCCACTCTTTTTACTAAACTAAATTAATATTTTGCTATTAGTTAAGATTGTATTTTCAAATGGAACCATTTAGTTTACACATATTTATTAATATTTTTAGGACTAAAAAAATAACCTATGATGGTGCCAATGTGCTTGTTTTTGTAGTTATTTTACAGCTTTTGGGTAATCTAAAAAATACACCGAACAAATACAATTGAAAATCATGTCACTTGCAAGCCAATGCTTATCGTAATGTACATATGTAAATGTATATGTACACTTCCGTGTAAAATCTAAGGTTTTGAAGTTACGGCTCCGAAATATCTATAGATGTGTTTTATGTGGCATAAGTACGATAACCATATTTATGAGAGCCGAATACGGGACAAAAAATAATTTTTGAAATTTTTTCCACACTGTTTTCCCTGAAACAGTATCCTTATAAATAGTAACATCACAAATTTGTAGGGTAATTTTCTCGAGATTTTTACCCCGTAAAATTTGTTAAAAAAGTTCGTTAAATTTTAGTATAATAAAGTGCAATTATGGCAATTTTTGTTTGTTGACGGTGTTACGCTTTTTTTTCATACAAAGTATGGTCGACCTTTTTTTGAAAGAGAAGCAAATGAGCAGCACTTTCCACTCGCCTTTATTATACTCAATTTTAATGAGTTACAAAGCTGCAAACCAAATTTTTTTCTAGAGATTCTAATTGAAAAGTTTGAAATTTCGGTGAAACATTGCAGAATTAATTTTTATAGTTTTTTGCATAAAGTTTGAAATTTGGTATTATATGATTTTTAGGAAAAGAACTTTACTTTCATAAAAAAAAATAATAAACTTTAAATAATCTAAGAAAAAATAGCCAAAACTTACTAAACTGACTAGTCCTAGTTTCTATTTTGGCCTCTGTATGTATTCCTCGATTCGAGGATTCGATAAAGAAAATTACGATCATATACCAACATCACTTAAAACTCGTTCATAGGTATGCAATTTTAACGAGCTCTTAAGGCGTCGGAACACCGAATATGGGGCAAATACAGGACATTAAAAGAAATACAGAACATTTGGCGTCCCGTATAAAATAAATAAATTACCAGAACAATGGGTCAAAAAAGAGGACTGTCCCGTATAATACAGGACGGATGGTCACCGTAGGTATAAGCTACCTGCATACATACATATATACATGTGTGCACATGTACATCCATCCATTGGTACATATCGTCACCTGAAATGCAAAAGGTCGTAGCTAGCAAAAAATCCAAAATTCACTTGATTGATTGTTGTGCATTTCATCGATCTGCATTCCACATAGTTTTATGCACAAACAAAATTATTGTTACTTCCGGCCTTTTGCATTTCAAGTGACGATATGTAAAAATACGAAAATATCAATTAAGAGAAAATGTTACTCACCTGAGACGCTCTCGCAACAGTCGATGTGGATCTCTCTGTCGATCTAATGCTAGCAGAATCAGGCGGAATTTGTGCAGGCGATCGAATCGCAGTTTTTGACGCATTTCTTCTTCTGCGTTGCAACTAATTCCAGTGCCGATACCAATGGAGCTAACGGTACTCATGCTGTCGGAAGCGGCGGCTTCACTATTAGAATTTGTTGCACACAATCGCTTCTCTCTCAAAGTGCCTTCAGCTAATCCGCCTCTTGCGTTAGCGGCGCTATGAGCAGCACCGTTATCCCCCACACCTGTACCGTTTTCGTAGCTGTAGTCGAGTAACCCAGGGCTACACGAACTCTTTCCACTATCTGTTTCGAGATTCTGTTGAGAGCTGCTGCGACTGATACGACAGCTGAGCTCTGTGATGCCGTTCACCTGTGCTCTGCTAGGATCAAAAGTGATGATGCTGGAACGTTTCTGCTGTGACGTCGGCAAAGTGGCGTCTCGCGTTGGAGAGATTTTGGAGATGGCGGCCACTAATAATCCCGCTGTTGCGGACATTTTATTGGTATTATTCCGTTCTTGTTAACAATTTCATTTATGTTTGTACACTTGTATATGCATAGATACATACACATATATATATATGATTGTATTGATGTTCAAAAAGTTATCGCGGGGTTTCGGGGCGCATCGACCGAACTTGACTTGTTTTTCGCTTCATTATCCCGCATTAGAAATCATTTCGCTTTCATAAATTACAAAAATTATATTAAATTGAATAAATGTCTTCAGTTTTTCACTTCACTTCGCGGCACAGAAAAGTTACTAGCTCCCGCTAATTGGTTGCGATGTGTTGGCTAGATATGTATGTACATGTTCGTACCTGTTGTTTGTGCTACTGACGGCGGAGTGCCTTTGTGTTTATCGCGTTGTTGTCTCTTCTTCGTACTGTGTGTCGATTTAATTGAATATCTTTTTCAAACCTACTTTATACACTCACACTGATTCTCACATATACATATACACATACATATATACACTCTTCGCTGCTGGGAAACCCGGAACTAGTGAACTCAATTTCTAGTTCCGTACTATATCTTTATCGCCAAAAACGAACCAGTCCGATAGTAACTAGATCTCCACCAGTTCAAAAGCAGCGACATGTGATACTTTTAAAAGGTTTTTTTTATTTTACTTTTTAGAACTACAGTTGTCCAAAAAATAATAGGAGTGCGATATTTTTAACAGTTTCGACTACTTGTCTTTTGTTTATTTATTGTTTATTATTCTCTTATAAAAGTCAAACTTTGTACAAAAATTTAAAAAAAAAAATTGCAAATTTTTACCCAAATTTCAAACTTTTTAATCAGAATCTTTAGAAAAAACTGTGGTATGCAATTTTGTAGCCCATATATAAAGTGAAGCTTTAAGTTTTTAAAAAATCCCATTGATTTTTTAGATATTTTTTGGTTGAAGTCGTTTCACGTTTTTTTTTTCAAACAAAGTACGTTCGACAATTTTCTTTTATATGGAGGACACTGCCAGAAAAAAAGTGCCAAAAATCAACGGAATTTTTCAGCAGCATGAAACTTACACTTCATTGCACTAGAATTAAATGGGCTACAAAACTGCATACCAAAAGATTTTGATTAAAAAATTTGAAATTTGGCTAAACTTATATAGAAAAATAAACATTTAAAAAAAAAGAAGAAAAATAGCCAAAACTGGTCAAAATATCGCACTCCTATTATTTTGTGAACAACTGTACATTTCGCTAGCTAGAAGTCCACTTAAAAAAAACAAAAATTACTTTGACATCTTAGTTGACGAATTTACAACTGGTTCGGAACTATACGGGCCAATTTTCACTTCCTAGGGCATCGCCGTGTTAAATTCCCTAGTTGTTTGCATTCAAATGAGATTTATCGCGAACCAGTAGTGGGTCTAAATGTACTAGAAGCGCACTAGTTCAGAATTAGAGATTTTACCAACAGGGTATGTACATGAATTCAACGACGTGCGAATATATTTATGTATACTTATAATTTCATTCTATTTATTTTTCCTCATTCGTTACTTATACAATTTTTACTTATTTGTTTTGTTTAGGTGTTTTTATCGCGTTTCGCGCAATTGTTTTTCATTTCTACATTTCTAAGTGATAACGTAAAGCTCGGTGAAATTCATACATATATGTATGTATGTACATATGTACATAAGTACGTACTATGTATTTATGTGTTGTACATACCAGTGATGGGACTTCAAAAAAATTCTGTGTGGTAGTATCTGGGAAAAAAATGTGGTAGATTTCAAAAAAATGTGGTACCAGATCTCTGGGTTTGGATCAAACTTTGTACAAAAATTAGAAAAATTCAGCAAGGTTTCACCTAAATGGCAAACTTTTAATCAGACTCTAAAAAAATTTAATTTAAGTATAATAAAATGCAAGATTGATGTTGCTAAAAGTTGCGTTGAGTTTTGGCAATTTTTTTCCTTCACAGTGTAAAGCAGTTCCTTCCATATTAAGATATTTTTCGCACATATTTTAGGATATTTTTGCAACCTCACGGAGGGAATGCTACCAGCTTTTCTTTTTATCACATCACGAAGTAGCGAACAAATCTGGCACGCTCCAGAAACAGCTAATTGGGATTTGCCGATTTTGACAATTCCCAAGTAAAAGTAAACAACGCTTCAGAAACTTTAGATGCACTTAAATTTGCTAATACTTTTACCAAGATCACCGTTTTTTGACATTTTCGCTATTAATTCCTTTTACAAATCATATATTTCGCAATTTGACACAATAAAACCGCGTTTCCTGTCGAAAAATTGATTATTGAGAAAATTTACTATTTTACAGTTTGTTTTATGGGAGGCTTTGTTTACTTTTACTTGAGAAATTTCAGGGTCGCCGGGAATGCGGAATCTTTTATTATATCATTCTTGTTACCATATCGTGTAGAATTAAGAAAATTATGTGAAGCAAAAATAAAACTACTCAAAAACGCGAATATGTGGTAGATTTCAGACCCTGAGTGGTAGATGCTCAAAAAAGCGGCAGATCTACCACAGTGTGTGGTAGAAGTCCGATCACTGGTACGTACTTATTTATGCATGCATGTGCGTTGTACTCGTTGTATTTCGGGATTGGACGGGCGCTTATCAGTTATTTGGTATTAACGTTTAGCATTCCAAGGCGATCCAGCGTCTTGAACACGTTGCCAAGTAACAGCTACATATGTATTATGCTGAAGCCAGTATCACTATAATGAAAGATGAGGAAAAAGTTTATAAATATGTATGTATGTACATATGTAATAAACAGTAATATACAAAACATTGATAGATATAACCAATAATAAATTTTATGAAAACATCTGTAAAATGCATCCGGTAGCTACTTCTGCACATACATACATATACACATTCATACACATGTATGCATACATATGTATCTACATCTATGTATATACTATGTACGTACACAAAATGTTTGACACGAACATTGTATAGGTCTTAACAGGTGATATTTTAATCCCTTATTCTTTGAAAAGAATCCTGGTTCTCTGCGACAATATTTTCAGTCTGCGGAGTGAGCTTGAAAATTTTCAAATAAAAGTGGGAATACCAATTTTTACGACTTGTGTAGATAAAATCCGGAACTCATTTCCTATCATAAAATCATAACAAAATAAATTGGACGAAATAAAAGCAAGTAACATCAATATTTTAATAAATTAAAAAATTAAATAGGAAGTAAAGATTAATCAGGGTTTTTCATTAATTGTATAGGAGTCTCCCTGTACTCTGGCCTTAAAACCATTTTTCTGACAAACGTGGCAGCCAGTGTTGCCGTCGAGAATTTTCACAAAGTCGCAAAAAGGGCACAAAATGACGTAAAAGGCCACCATATTATTTTTGCTTTTCTTTACTAGTAAAAGAAAAAATCTGAAAACCAAAGTCAAAATCAAATTTACTTTATTATAAAGTAAAATAGTGGGACTAGCTTTACACAAAACAGATTTGCTAACATACACAGAAATCGGTTTGCATTTCCTTTAAAAGTTTTAAATCACTTTTTCGTACTTACAGTAGGAAATATTTTTTATCAGCATGGTTCTGTTAACATTTCCTTAAAAAATCCCTGAGAAGGGACAAGGGTATTGGTGCTTAAAAAGGGTCAAAGTGCCCCTTTAGTCGCACAACAGCAGGCAACACTGGTGGCAGCACTTTCGTTATCACAAAAAACATAGAGTATAAGGGAGCCTTAAATATACCCAGCATCCTTATTTTCCATGTTCTCACGCTATATTTCAGTCAATCAGTCTTCCTCTTTTTTGGGTTTTTATAACTATTTTTTAAGTTTTTTATTTTCTTAAATCAAACGATACTAACCTGAATTTGGTTTTATAAAAAATTATACTAATTTCCCCAAAAATTCATGGATATGGAAAACATAAGATGTATATATTGTATGTATACATTTTTGCGATCGTTTTTAAAGTTTTTTCTCTCTTTTTTTTTGTTTTAAATAAAACTGTATATTAAAATTTTATGATGCTTCAGAAATGTCCCGATTTTTGTTCACAGCAATATGGTCACCGTAGCTATAAGGCATGCCATAATTTTAAATTATTTGTTCTTACTGTTTATAAGTACGAAACTATAAGTTATATTTGTATCTAAGAGATAAATAAATAGTCTGAAAAGGCCTTTCTCTTAAAAGAAGACGTGACAAAACGTACTAGGCGTAGCCCAGGCATGAGTACAGCCCACTGAAACGAACGTGGCGAGCATAGTGCTTAAACCGCTTCCCGACGAAATACTTGACAATGGTGCCGGGGGATCGCTACTTAGACAGTAGGGAGTTTAGTTTGGGTTAAAGTCCAACACTGACGGGTACAGGGTTTCCATGCTTCCTCCTCGTAAAAAAACTACATCTAAAAATGCATGTTTACATGTTAATTCGCATTTAGTTTTTTAAGCTACATGTTGGCGGTAGAATCATCATTGTCTGTCTATTTCTAATGAGTTTAAAATGTTAATTGCACTGTCATATTGAGCGTTTATTTAACGATCCAGCGATATGAACCGTAGGCATTTTGGTAAATCCGTCAAGTAGTCAAGGATAATCGTAACGGTATGTTTCTTCCAAAGCACGGTCTCGCTCTGTGGGATCGTATCTGAGAATAAACCATTGGAAACACTTAAAAATTTTCATGAAAATTGGTTGAGTTTTTCTTAGCTCTGTATAAAGATTGAAAGTTTGATTTATATTGTTTTGGTTAAAGCATGATCTGTAGAAAATATTTAATAAAAACTACCATGTATTCAGTTTTGCTCTATAGACATACTCGGAGCATATAACCCATATTTCATTGCAATCGGATGCACCGCGCAGAAGTGTATGCGAAAAATGCATACGGTTCATGCTCTCACACATTTTTTTTATACATTAGTATGGGTGTCACAATTGTCCTCTAAAACCAATTTTGAGTGCTGCAGAATATCGTGAGTTTTAATATGACTATCCTAAGATAAAAGTCCGTTAGTTGAACCTGTCTTGGCTTCTTAATTTTTTAATAAATAATCTTTAAAATGGACCACACTAAAAGGTCCTTTCCAACTAATTAATTCCTACGTATCCCAGTCGTGACAAGAGGAATTTCGGATTTCTTTTTTATAATAAAGCAATAATTTTTGTTGTAGTTTTTTGTAGAAAAAACTCAGATTTTTTTTGGTAATAACTATATAAAAGTGAATCAGGTGTAGCTTTATCAAAATGTAGAATTGTTGAGTACTTTATACTTAAATTTAAAAAAATAAAGAACATTTTTTACTGCACAAATGTGCCACCCGTAACGGTGGAATACCCCACATGTACATACCTTGCAGAAAAAAATATTAATTGATGAAAAATAACCGACTGGTCAAATGAAAATGCGCGCAAGGATTTTTGGTATCAAATATGAGCAGAAGAGTGTTACTCATACGCCACGTGCACCTGATTTAGTAGAGTGTTTGCAACGAAAGCAAGAGCCCCAGCAAAAAATCGGTAATCGCTTTTAGTGGTAACGTGGTGGTTCTACAACGGATTGCCTTATAATGTCTTCTAATTTTTTCGCTTCTTTTAGGCATTGCCGGTAATGCATAGCAGAATGTTCTACAATATTTTATTAATTTCGCTGCTTTAAGGAAGTAAAATTTTAAGTTTAATTAAATATGCATGTATGTACATACCGATTTTTAAGTACCCACCATGCAAAACATGAGAAATAGGCAACAATCGTCAATGGCAACAAATTGGCGACTCACCGATTTATTGCTGTGGTGACAAATCGGCAACATCACTTCATTCATGTCAATTTTGAATAAAAAAGTTCTCAAAAATTCCGAAACTTATGAATATGGCGTCAATAGTATTGGCCAAAAGCATCTAAATTATGCCCAAGGACAAGATTGATAAAATAGGAAGCCTCACAGCGAGAAAATGAATTAATTCCGATTGTAAGTTGCAATTTGGTATACAGAAAAATAAATGAAGTATTAAAAAGAATAAAATTATTCCAAATATCGCCTGAAGCGATAAGAAAAAGACTCATTCAGGCAATAAGAAAACGACTCGCCCAGGCGAGTTGCCTTCGGCGGACGTTTTAGAGCGACCGGTAATAGGAAATCGATTCGATGGCAATATTACCGGCAATAAATTT